GAGATGGCAAGATGAATACAGAAAGAAAGACAGAGAAGTTAAAAGTCAAGTTAGAATGGATAGACGACAGCAGACCGACGATATTGCAAATGAAGCTGAAAATGCTGCTGGGCAACAGCACATAAAGACTCTGTGTTCTCCGACTAAAGTGTTGAGTAACGATAGACCAAGGCAAAGCGCAGCAGTAAAGGACAAAAGCGGTAACATCCTTAATGCTAAAGAGAGCAAAACCAAGAGGTAGTATGAACACTTTAATGAGGTACTTAACTGAGAGAACCCTAGCAACCCGGTAAACATAGTTAAAATAGAACCTCCAGAAGAGATTGAAGAAATAGATACATCTGAACCCAGCAGAGCCGAAATAAAGGGGCTATAAAACACCTGCAAAAAGGAAAAACTCCAGGTATCGACATCATACAAGCAGAGCTGCTCAAAGTTGACATTGACTTTGCCACCATAAAAGTCAAGCGATCATTGACATAGTGTGAAGAGAAGAAACACACCAGGGAAACGGAGGAAAGGGCTGATAGTCAAGCTTCCGAAGAAAACTAATCTGAAAGAATGTAAAAACTGACAAAGGAATCACGTTGCTACCAGTCGTCAGCAAAATGATAGTGACCGAAAGGATTTGAGGCGGTGTCGAGTCGAAACTCAGGAAGGAGCAGGCTGGGTTAGGCGAGGTAGAGGAACTACTGAACAAATTTTTATACCTAGAAATATAATAGAACAGTCAATAGAGTGGCAGTCCCCATTGTACGTCACCTCGTGGACTTTGAAAAAGCATTCGATTCAGTCCACWGGGAAAGCCTGTGGCTGATTACGCAAAGCTATRGTATACCATCTTAGATGATCAGCATGGTGAAGGCAGTCTACAACGACTTTGAATGCGCTGTAGTGGATGAAGAGGACACAACAGAGTGGTCCAAGATCAGGACAGGCGTGAAGCAGGAAAGCAATATGTCAGGTCTACTATTCATGTGAGTCGTTGACTGGGTATTGAGAAAGACACTGCAAGAGAGTAACACCGGAATAAGTTGGAAGATTGAAGATATCGATTCTGCAGATGATGTTGCCTTAATATCGTCAAGCAAACAGCACATTCAGATAAAGACCGATAAGCTGACCGACGAAGCGGGAAAGGTGGGATTGAAAGTCAATGTAGAGTTATGCAAGCTGAGTGCTAGGAATTAATTTTCGAAAAAATGATGCGGTGGAAGTAAATGGGCAAGGGATAGA